GTCACGTAATCTGAATCGAGAGTCAAACGGATGCCAAAAGTGCTCTTACTGGAAGTGCCGCCTGCTCATATGCGAGATCTGGACTTGTGTGTAAGATGAATTTCAAGTGTTCCTGCCACGCATTATCATATCCCAGAAAGTTTCAGTTCAGCCGGCTTTCGAAATCGCTTTTTCCCCAAAAACGGTTTGACACAGATGTACACAAATGCCCATTTCACCTATGTGGACTCATATGCATGCGGCAAGAACACTCCTAAAATTAGAGGGACCTAGTCAGATTAGTTCCAGAGTTGGCATTTTGGCGGCTACTGCACAATCGTAATTATGATGTGCCCATACAGATATGACGTAAGCGTGCGTTTGAGTTGAGTTTAAAACCTTTAGCTCATGTAAGAGCAGAGAATGTCCCTGCAAAGTTTCAGCTTCCTGGCTTTCCTGATCCCCGAAATCGTTTGCCCGCCAAAAATCTTGCATTAATTTTTAAGGAGTCTGTAAGACCCAGACGAAGGAGAATGATGATTTGAAACGAAGCGTCAGACATGGGACGGGAACATGCACCAGCAACTTTCGCCTCCTAGCTTCACCGGTTACTGAGCCGAAAGTGGGTGACAAAAGTGCGAATACACACACACACACACATACATACATACGCATACAGACAAACTCTTGTCAATATGCGCTTTTGCATTTTCATAAATGCGCAAAAACACATAAAAATGACGAATATATACCAAGGAACAATGACCATCCGGCTACCAATGTAGACATTCCGTGTTAATGATGTTATGGGATGCTCGCGTACGCTCGGCGCAGCTACGCCAGGCTTTTTAATATGAATAAAAATTATTTTTTTAGAATTGATCGCGCTCGACAAAAGTAAAATATAAAAACATTGACAGGTTTGCCTATCGACCTTAGCAAACTGATGTAGTACTGGACTCGTTGAAATATTAAGTCTTTTTATCTACGCAACCAAAAAATGCAAGTCAGCTTTATTGCAAGCATTAAACCAATTTCGAATTTTTTATTCGCTAAGACACACTGCGGTAACTGCCTTTAGTTCGGCAAGTGTTGCTGCCATGTCACTCGCTGAGCAGGATCCTGCTATCTTTCTCATAAGCAGAACAGAAAAGACAGCAAACATAGTTGGTAGATGTAAATCACCACTGGAGACTCAACAGGCTGTTGAAACTTACGTGGGCGATGGATTGTTGCAGTTTCTTCTTGCTGTCAGCGCTTTCTTCCGTACGCTGGTCACAATAATCTGATCGGACATCAAAAACAAGCATCGCTGCTTGTTTTTATTCGCCCCCAGTATGGTTACAAGATCGTAGCGAATAAATGACCGACCGGTGGTCACCAGCTAAATTGCAGTCATTTGCAATTTTTTGCCAGGGCATGTTGCAAATGTGGACGAGGAATGAGGATAATGGATTTAACAGATGCGTTTGCATTCTTCAAACCCTTTCAGTCGCTTGTGGAGTTTAAAAACAAAAAATAAACAGCAGTTACGCATTACTTAGGTGGTGTGATCATGCGTGTTGCGTAGTTTCGACCGATGGGCGTTTGCTTTTAAAAATATTCACTGCTTTACTACTCGAGATGTGCAGAAATTATCGGAATGTTCTATCCGGTCAAAACTTTCCTGTGTCCGTATGTGGGACTTACGTGTACATGGAAGCTGAACTAAAATTTTCGGAATCGCACAATGGCAGAAGATACTTTCTTGAAATTTCAAATTTCTGTTTAACACGATTTCAGGGTCAAAAATTTTCTGCCAAATCATTCACATATCCATAAACAGAACTTAGACGTATGTAAAAGCAAGTCTAAAATTTTCAAAGACGCAAACAGAAATGTAATGCTCCTGAATTTCAGTTTCCTGGCTTTTCTAGTTTCCAAATTAGTAAATTCTTTCGCTAAAACTTTCACGCGACTAAACGTGAGACCCAAGCATAAGTGAAAATTGAATTAGAAACTTAAATTCTGTCCCATTCATGCCTAGACCTCACGTACGAACATGTAAAACTTTTGGCCTCAAAGTTAATAGCTCAGGAACCACAAAAGTTATGAAGCTGAAATTTTGCGAGGATGTTCCTGTTCACGTTCGATCCTGCAAATTTAAATTCGACCTTACGTACTGATACATGAAATTTTTAGCACGAAAGCTACTAACTTGGGACCCACAAAAACTAGGAAGCCGAAATTTTCGGATAATATTTTAAGCCCATGTCCGACTTCGAGAATTTAAATTCAGGCTCCCTAGCCCGCCTAGCCTCATAGGAAGTCTTGGCATGAAATTTTCAGCCTGGGAACCAACAAGACAGTAAGCTGAAAATTTACTACGATGCTTCCTCTGAGGATCGTAGTAAGGATCGTAGTAAATTTTCAGCTTTCTGTCTGAATTTCAAATTCAGCTCTCAGCCACGTTTTTATATCTTAAATATGGATAAATGAAATTTCACGTGGGGGATTTTCAGTTCAGAAACTAGACAAAACAGAAAGCAAAAACTATTGAAGGATGTCTTCTGTTCATGCGCGAATTTATAAATTCAAATCTAGTTCACATGCACGCTTATTTATATTCATGGAATATGGAATTTCATATTTTTTACGCATACCAAACTGTAAAGCAATGAATATTTTTAAAAGCAGCTGTTCGCAGGGCAAGACTGCGAAAAACGTACGAACGCGTCGGCTATCTCGGTTCATGCCGCTATTCATTAAATTAAGCAAAGTCAGTCTTGTCGAAGAATGCTAAAATCTGTTATATTTGAATAAGAAATGAGGGACAATAAGATAGAGAATTTTATTGGAAAATTATTAGGAACGAGTTTATACCATAAAACAGTGCTAAATTTTTGCATGATTTTCTTCCTTAAATAGAAATTTATAATAGATAACTGACATCGTCGAGGCCGTCAACGATAGCCTCAATTTCCCGCAATCGCTGTTCCATCTCCTCACTTTCCGCTTTCTGTCGATTAATTTTCGTTGCCAGCTCATGGATATATTTTTGTGCCATTAGTAAACTATCGTAATCGGCATGTTCCACTGATGTATGTTTGATAATTTGCTGAAAAAATGTAATCATTGGACGAAACTTAGTTATGAAAAAAATGGCCAACGCACGGGCTGCTCGTGCGAAGATGCGTTTTTATGCGTTTTGTGCTGTGTAACAGCAGTACAAAATGCATATTGTCACGGGGTTGCCTGTGTGTGTTTGTGTGTGTGTGTGTGTGTCTGCAGCAACTTGTCCACAACTTTCAACTCAGGAACCACAAACATAGAAAGCTGAAAATTTAGGGGAACGTCCCTCACCCACGTGTGACCCCGCAAATTTAAATTCAGCTTCCCCGTAGCCGCGGATAACACGTACGGCCCCGTAAAAGTTTTTTACGGATAAATTAATATCTAGGGAACCGCGAAGTCTAGGAGGCTGAAATTTTAGAGTAATGACCCTCTGCCCACGCCCAACCTTGCCCCTTTCAAATCCAGCCTTCCCGTACCTGTGGGTAACAAGTACGGCCCAGTGAACGTTTTTTACGGGTAAATTAATATCTCAAGAGCCACATAGTCTAGGAGGCTGAAATTTTAGAATAAT